GATGTAAATTAATATCCCAGTGTTTAAAAATTACACATAGCATCAACTGGCAATCTCAAGATAAGAAATACTCAGCAATTTTTTAAATACTCAGCATTTTTGAAAAAAAAAAACCAAACAAACCACAAACAACCAAGCCAACCAAAACCAAACTATGACTCTTTTGGGGTCTCTTCTTGTTGTATTCCATATTCTTTATGCTAAAGGTTGTGTTTTACTACGAGTCATAAAGTTGAAATTAATTGAAATGAAAACAGAGTTGTGGTAGCATGGTGGATCATAGATCAAAATTAGGAGATCCTTTGGTAAATGTTACAGCATTTAGAAACACTACAATTATGCTCAGGTTGTCAAATCATTAAACCTTTTCCCTCCTATTTGAGAGAAAACATGAATTTGGTTTTGGGCTCCCAAACACAGTTAAACTTACTGGCACAGGTATGACCTCATGCTGTTCTTAGCTGGTTTGAAGAAATACTAAACACTGCAGTGCTCTAGTCTATTTTTGGAGTTTCCATGGTATGTAAACCCCCAGCATTTTAGTTAAATTGCTGTTTATTTCCCCCAATTAACGTACAGCGTGGTGGCATACTTAGCATTTTAGGAGATGTCTGTCTACAGAATAATAGAGAGGCCTTGTGAGCCTCTGCTGATATTTGTAAACTACTTGGTGGGTTCTTTGTCAGGTAATGTTTTAGACTGGCAAAGTAGCATATGATTGTAGCTTTCTGAAAGGATGAAGAATCCGGCTTTTATTACTGCATATTTTGGTGGAGGCTGTATTGCACTTCGACGAAAAAATGCAGCCCTACCCTACAGTATTTGTTGAACTATGCTGTCTTTTGTACTTTTAAACTGATATTTACCATGAAGTGCCTCATCCAAAGCTCGCTGGAGCAACTTTCCATTGATTTTAACAACCTTTGACTGAGATCCATATTGAACAAAACTGATTTTCTTTCATAGTCATGTCATCGTTATCCTGTCCCTTATATAGTGGAAATGTGTATTTTATCTCCCTGAAATCTTTTTGCTTTACTGCCCTAAAATGCAACAGAAAATGAAATCCTGACTGCATGGGAGTCAGTGGTAAAATCAACCTTGACTTCCATGAAACCAGGACCCATGCAGAAGTTCTTAGTAATATACAATCCATGAAGGTGAGAGTGAACCTTTGTCTTTCACAACATCATGAAGTGGTCAGTTTAGTAATTGGCAGAAGGTGTACACAAGTAAATTCCTATTCTTTACAAGCAAATACAAACTTTTTCATTAATATATGTAATATATAATTCTTTCTTCTTTAAACACTCAAATAAGTCTTTCACTGTGTTCTGTCTTTTGCTTTTCATTTTCTGAAGAATCCATAGTAAAAGCCCTTTATGATGCATACCTTAATGTAAAAGGTTTCTTTGTTTCCAGGAACAACTTCTGAATGTTTCTTACTATAGCTAGTATCCACGGTATCTTCCAGATGGATAAAATTAAGTGTTCAGAGCTCATCCTTTCCTACTGAACCCAGAAGGTTTTGGAAAGAAACTTCATTCTTTCACATTCATCCACATATGGCAAGATAGCTATGTAAATCTCTTCTTAATGTACATGTCAAAAAAGAGCTCAGCTAATATTATGAAGTATGGGAAACATTTGTTTCAGGCTGTGAAAAAATATAACTCTTCTCTTAACTTAAAAATATATGGGTCTGCCTGTGTGTGCATACATATATGTATAATGTGTATATGTTCCGTGCACAACTTATAGCACAGCTGGGGAAAGTTGTTCAATTTGCAAAATGAGCAACATATGGTCTTTATAAATTGTAAAAGAAATATTTTGAATAAATAAGTGTTGTGATTTATTTTACATAAACAAATAAGGGAATTTAAATTAAAAAGATAAATCTATGCATGGGACATAAAGCTGAAAAGCTGACTATGCTTGTTGCTATTTTGGTTCTGGTAAGTGCTTCTAGGTCCTTGAATTCCTTTCAACTATATAAAAACTGGATTTACTCCCAGGGCTCCAATTCCTTAACTAGGGCAGTTTAAAAACTAAACAAGGGCTGAGTCAGTTAATTAATTTAAATGAGATTACAAATCAGAAACACATTACGTAATGTTGATTTAATTACCATTTTTTATTTACCTAATTAAAACACTCTGAAGAAAAGTTAACAGTCTCGACAACAGCCATTTGGGTGACTTGGCAGTGGCAGATCTGAGCTGCTGATAAAAGGGGAGGTGAAGCGGGGAGCCCGCTGCTACCCATGTGGCTCTGACACCCCCAACCATCACGCACCGCCTCGCTGTCAGCCTGTGTGGTGGGATCACCCCATCTAGCCTGAGAGCGGTGATGCTGCCCCAGCTGCAGAGCCCCGCTGCAGGGACCGGGAAGCGTGTCCCACCAGCACGGGTGGGCTCGTGGCTGAAAGGCGTGGGATTTCTCCTGGTCGTGCAGCCGCAGGCGAACTTGTCTGTTGGAGGGCGCGGGGGAGTGCGGTGAAAGGGGACAACCGATGGCTGAGTAGCTCTTGCCATGTCCCCACTGCAAAGCAAGCAGGTTCAAACCGAAATGAGAACAGGGCCCAGCTTCTGCCTACCAGACTGGCCATTTCCCAGCAGAAGCACCTCCATGCCTGAACCCTGAAGGCTTTTGTGGAATGACAGGCCTGCTTGGGCTAAAACCTGGGTACCTGCCTGAGCCAATGGGTGACACAGATAGATACCTTAGCTTTCTGGGGCTGGCAGTCCGCTCTGTTCCTCGCTGCCCTTTTCAGGTAGGTGAGGGATAGTGGGCAACACCCTTTCAAGGTAAAGAGCGTAAGTCACTGTTACAATGCCTCATGGCTCCTGGTGCGGCATATAGGTGCTGATGAAGCCTGCCCTCGTAGGATCAGTCCATCCAGCCTTCAGAGTAGCTCCTGTCACTACTCTGGCCTCCCAAGAGGTGTCTCCGGTGCCTCCTGGGTGCAAACTAATGAAGGGAGAAAAAAGCAGTGGGGATTACTTGCCAAAACAGAGTTTGCACTGAGGAACTGAGGCTTTCTTGAGATTTGAATACACCTCATATCAATATCAACCAGGACTGCTATTTCTGTGTCAGCTTAAGAGCCTTTGCATATAGATTTCTTTGGTATGCTTACTTAAATTTGTGGTCTGGAAATGGATCAAAGCTAACGATAAGTCTTCAGAAAAGTGGTGGATGCCACAGAACCTCTGCAAGGTGGGCAACAAGCAATCCTTCGTTGCATGGCCAATGGGGTTTGCCAGTGCAGTGTTGTCTGGGAGCCGATGCCGCTGTCCCATGACTTACACCTAAATGTCTAACTTCACTTCTTTACACTGCTCATTTTCCACCAGCTGTATGAATACGAAGCACATAAAAAAATTCTAGGGCTAGCGCCTCGTATGCTTCTCCAGTGCAATAGCATTGTACTAGATAGCAGTCTTGGTGAACATAGAGGAACTCCTGACAGAACAAGGGTAGCAGAATGACGTTTTAAAAAGAAGTCACTGCTTTTGTGTTGCGGAGTGTTTCAGTCTGGGTGTCATGAATACATATTGCTAACAGAGTACATGCTATTGGGAAAAGATGTGAGGCTTCGTCCTGCAAACATGTCTTTCTCACAGTGAAGCCCTACTTGTTTTTTGAGGCGCTGCTTACACGTTGTGTGAACTGTGGTTCATACCAGATATCTTCAGGGATATAGAACCATAGAATCATTTAGGTTGGAAAACACCCTTAAGATCATCGAGTCCAACTGTAAACCTAACACAGCCAAGTCCACCTCTAAACCATGTCCCTAAATGCCACATCTACACATCTTTTAAATACCTCCAGGGATGGTGACTTAAGCACTTCCCTGGACAGCCTGTTCCCATGCTTAACACCCTTTTTGGTGCAGAAGTTTTTCCCAATATCCAGTCTAAACTCCCCTGGTGCAACTTGAAGCCATTTCCTCTCATCCTATTGCTTGTTACTTGGGAGAAGAGACCGACCCCCACCTCACTACAACCTCCTTTCAGGTAGTTGTAGAGAGCGATCAGGTCTCCCCTCAGCCTCCTCTTCTCCAGGCTAAACAACCCCAGCTTGCTCAACCACTCTGCACGGGACTTGTGCTCTAGCAAAGAAAGTGGTGGGGGTAAGTATTTTATCATACAAAGTCAGTTAGGGGAAGTGTTTCCATTAAAAGTAGTGATCTGTGAAAATGTGGAAAATAACTCCCCCGTCAAGTGAACATAGTTATGCAGACAAGAGTGACACTTTCACCAATTCCAGTTCCATGTTTATAGCCTCATTTCAGCAGATACTTAATATAATAAAACACTTTCAGCTTGTTTATACTATAAACAAACTCGTATCACTAAAGTTGGTGTGAATAATGCTCATAAAATTGTACAATAATTCAGAGTCATCAGATGTAGAAATGGTTTACAATGAAAGATGTTTCTTTGGCAAAAAGAAATCATTAAAAGTAGTTGGGAAACTTATCAATTGAATCAGTTGCTTTGACAAGGTAAAATAATGTAGGTAACAAGGTATGTGTGTAGTAAAATTAGGAAAATAATTATTAATGGTAATGATTTAAAGTACACAGGTGAAATTATTTGTTTATTTGCTTTATGGATTTTTGCTGATCACATTATTTGCTTTGGAGGAGAGGGAGATATCATGCTTTTCTGTTGCCATGAATGCTTTCCTACCATGATGATGTTCTGAAAGTCTTTGAAAGATGAAGAGCTGATTTGGTCCCCGTGACAGCCCAGCAGTGGAGCTGGAGCCCAAGGAGGTTGGGCTGTCTCCATCCTTGAGCGGTTTCATGCGCTGACTTTTTAAAGCCCTGAGCAGCTGAGTTTGATCCCACGGCTGAGCTTTCCCTGGGCAGGGGCTGGGACTGGAGACCTCCCCAGGTCCCCAGCAGACTGAGGTGTCCTGTGATTTTTAGGGTACAACCATTTACCTCAAGTTTGTGATGTCAGGTGGCAATGCAATCCTGAAGGATGACAGTCTGGGAGGTAGTTGTGATTCTTGTTCATGGTAGTGACTCTGTCAGGTGTGAAGTCAGATGCCGTATAGGTATGTGAAGGCTTGAACGGCATCAAACTGATACTTACATGGTGCCACATCTCTCTGGTCCTTTATCCTACCCCATACCCAAATCATAGACTATCAAAGAACAAGGGTCTATTTATGTGCTGGTGAATGATTAAATTAGTATCTGTCAGCTGCGATTAACTGAGTGCAAAGGCTGTCTCCTAACCTGTGGAAAATGAAAAGTTAAATGTGTCCATTGAAGCCACTGAGGAAGTTTATTTGATTAATATGACACCTGTGGAGAATCTGCTTATTTCTCAGACATGGCTTTAAAAAGTATTTTTTCTTTTTACAGATTCTACCTCTATTTGTTTTCAAGGCCTTCAACGTTATGCTAATGCAGAGAGCCTTAAAAGCAAAATTTCTTGTACAGTATGGGGCATAAGGGAGGTATAGCATAACTTACTTTTTAAAGACAGTATCTTCTCTTATCAGCTGAAAAATGAAAGATTAGGCTACTCAGGTGAACAATACTAAAAATCCCTCAGGGAGGTGATGAACAGCAGTGTTACTTTCTTGGTTTTGCTGGGTTGTGCATACTTCGTGCTGCTGCTTGTTCAAGACAAGGTGGTGGACAGGGAGAGGCCATCTTGTCCCTCACTAGATGGCAAACCATCAGCTTTTTTTTTTTTTCCCCTCTGCCTTATGAAGCCAAGAATGATGTATCATGGGACCACCTTTTTCCTCATGTATGGCAGGGGAAATTGATGTTTTTTACTCACGAGCAGCAGACCTCAACAGTCAGTTTTACCTAACCCTGGCTGCAGTGAGAGTTGTCTGCACTCACAAATACTCATTGGGATTGACTACTAGAAATAAAAATGTGGGAAACAATTCAGTCTAAAATATGCCAGCCTCTTGACTCATCCTTTCATACCATCTTCTAAAAGAAAGAGTAATTTGAGATAAAGAGTTTGAATACCCTGGTGGTAGCTGTGCTGAATCATGATAAATTATACATAAAGTGTATCAAGGTTACATGAATATCTACCAGGTAACAGTAAAGACTGGCTCGAACCATTCTCATATAAACTGTTAATCTGTGGGGCAATAACTTGTCAAGGCATCAGCTGCTGACTTTTGGAGCACCAAGAAAAGCAGAGCAGAAGATAACACTCACTGTAGTTGTGAGGTGCTTATGAAAGCTGTTGTGTGGAAATGGTATGTGTAGGTGAGCTTTTGCTCTGTAGCAAATAAGGATAGGTATTTCTGAGATCTATGTGGAAGAATTTTTTTCAAGAAAAGCACATTGACAGTAAAATTTGAGAAGGAGGTTTTTAAAACAAACAGACAAACAAAAAACCCACAAAGACAAAAAATAAACTAAGGGAACTTATGGTTGGGAGCTACCTAAATGACAAAGTTGAAAATTTCAGTTTGATCACACTGACATGAAGGAGTTTTATTTGCTACTAGTTGTATAACTTTGCTTACAACTTCTAGCTTAGGAAGTAATTTTTTTTTAAATGTGCACAGAATTATTTGGTGGGAAAATTGAATATAAAGCCAGCTAGGCAGACAGTAAGTCTGGTTTATGTCTTTCTCCATCACACTGGAAGAAAAGCCTGCAACTTTTAAACCCAGGGCTCAAGTTGTTAATTAATGATCTTGTGCAGATGAGGACAAAGAAAGATTTAAAGTGTCTTAACATGTCCTTAGTTTCTGTGGCTTTCCAAAAATGCCTCTCACTCCCTCTTTTAGAGGAGCATTGCTCCAAGGTCTCTTTTTTATTCAATATTCTGCTTATAAATTAAGTTATTAATATAATTTATTGTTATAATGATAATGGTTCTCTTTTACTTTGCAAGGCTATATGCATCCAATCAAATCAGGAGAATGCTTTATAATTACTGACACTGGTGAGAGAATTGGATCATCACAGGCCATCTCAGGTCTGTGTCTTTCATCCTAAGAATGAGATGCTTCTATGTGCTTTAAGTGCAGAGTTATGTAGGTTGATACTCTAATACAGAATACAATTCTTTGCTTTCTCAACTGCTTTAAGTGAAGAGTTAGGTAAGTTGCTTCTCATATTCAGCTTACAATAATTCTTTGCTCTCTCAAGATCATTGAGACCCCACTGGTGAATATATTAGTATCATCTGCTGCTCAAATCAGTAGTGAGAATCAGTGTGTAAAAATCATGATTAAGAAGTAGTTCACATAAACCAAAGCTAAGTCTGACTGGCAAATTACCATAACTAGCCGACTGCTTATCCTATAACTGGAAAATTCTTTGCTAAGTTTATCTTATTATAATATGAAAAAGAATTGTTTAAACTACTATCAGTCTTTAAACCGTGGATCCAGAAAGTGACCATGTTGACTATGAGAAAGCAGGAGTAAAGGCAAATTGCTGTGCATAAGCTAAAAAATATTCTTCACTTTATGCATCTTTTCAGTGAATTTTAACAGAAGGAAACTTCAAAGGCTATATTCTGGTAGGCCTCATTAATCCAGTTTTGAATCTATGTGTTCCCCAAGCTACACTGTCCAAGCTTTATTTGGTGCATCTGCTACCAAATTGACACTTCATTTAGGCACACATCTGCAGTAGTTTTACACTTGGACCATTGCTGTGTAAAATTAATCCTCTCTGATAATCTCCATTTAAATAATAATATGTATGGTTTGCAGAAGCAGAGAATGCCTATTAGAAGAATATTAAAGTTCACCACCTGCAGGGTGAACCTTCCCATTGCAACACAGGAAAAGCGACGTTTGTTCATATAAAGGTTCACATGCAAAGAAGCATCATATTTTTAGCATTTCTTGTAGCTGATTGAGTTTTCAAGTTAGCTTGATTTGATTTTTTAAGGGCATGTGCTGTATCTTAAGATAAGAGCAACCTTATCTAGTTGGAGATGTCTCTGCTCACCGCAGGGGGGTTGGACTAGATGACCTCTAAAGGTTCCTTCCAGCCCAAATGATTCTACGATTCTATGATCTTCTCACGAAAAGACACAGGCATACTGAATGGCTACATATTGTGCTGTACACTGAGACTCTTTGAGTACCCAAGTGTCCAAACCATGGGATGTGCAGAATCTGACCGGGAGGCCTGCCCTTCATTCTTCCTAGTCAGCATTGAAGAAGATAAAGGAAATTTCATGTGAAATTTGCTATCCAATGTGTATTTTATTGTGTGCAAGAGTGGTTTCATTCAGTATTAGAAAATTCTGTTGTGTTTTTAATACCCTCGGAACTGGGTTTCACATGTGCCTTGGTCTTCCAGTACTCTGGTAGATCCCCAGGTGCCTGTCTTCTGTGACAACTGTCATTCAGATGAATTCAGTAGAACTTAAACTGTGAAATGGAAACAATAAACTACTTAAGAGATGTGTGTTAAGCTATGTTTGCTAAGCTACATAACAGATTGTAACAGATTTCAGTGAACTTCTTGTAGCAGGTGGAGGGAATCTTTCATTCTACGTTGAGGTAGCCCTCTTGGCTGTAAGAAGTGATGGGGATTGAAGGACAAGAATTTGTTGATATGTACTTTCCTCCTTTTCGATCTTTTTTCTTTAATTTGGACACTGTAAGCAGCAACGCATTCAAGAATGCTGACTTCCCTCTGGGTTCCATTTGGCAGTAGCAATTTCTGTGGTGCTACGATGCAATCTTTTGGTGGTCCTATGCTACTAACAAGCACTGCTACATTTAAAGTAATGGATATTTTGTATTCAGAATGTAAAACTGCTCCATTTTAGATACCTATATACAGAACAAATGGTTGTGCTTCATATAATTTCTTATTCTCTTTGCATACAAGAGTGTCTGTCATGTCTTACTTTATTAATAACAATTTCTTGCAGTGAAGCAGCATTTTGTTATATTATTGGTGTGGGAATACAGCAAAAATTAAATAGTTTTAAAAGCAATGCTTTTGTGAAGAAGGATATAATTTATTATTTAGTCTGTTAACTTTAAATTGCATTCTCCTCTTGATTCATTTGGTGCAAGTATCATGAAAAGAACAATCTTTGAAGTGTACAGGGTTTGGGTTTTGTTAATCTTTGTGTTACATAATCTTCATTTCACAACAGCAGTTCTCACGGGCTAGGAACACAAAGCCTATATTGTATTAAAATGGACAGTCATATCTTCAGTGCAGTCCTAAGTCTGTGGAAGCAGAGTAGGCCTTTGTACTTTAAGGAAAGGGCAGAGAAACAGGACTCATCACTGCCAGCGCCATTAGTTGCCTGATGCAGTGAGTCTTTCTGGTCACTGGCTGAGAAGAAACTGCCTCTGCTTTGCTGATTATGCAATGTCATATTTGAGGGAAGGAGGGAAAGGGAATGAAAAGGTACCCTTGTAGATGTGTTTACAACTTGAGTATTTACCTGAATGACTCTCTTGTCCTTATTCAGTGATCTATGAGTTCCTCTAACTAGGATCATTGCATCTTTCACAATGTTTCTGCTTCTGCATAAAATGGGTTACATATAGTGTGTTTATTCAATAATGCCTTCATGTAGAAAGTCAGGGAAATGACCTTTAAAGGACAAAGTTAAGTATTAGTTTAATACTGAAGGAGGCTATTAAAAGGTTGTGAGATACTTTCAAAACAAATTAGTAAAACGTTTCTTTCGTTTCTTTATAGATTCTGGACAACCAGGAAGTCCAAGCCACAATGATCCTGCCAAGAATCCACCAGGTAAATATAAGTTCCAGAGCATGTGCATCTAACATTGTTTGAAAACAAAGATACTACTGTTAGTAGTTAAAGAGAGCATAATTGGTCAGCAACTGGTAAGTACATATAATCGGGACAAGCTGTGATTATTTTAGTTCTTTTAAACTGACAATGCTTCAATTGTCATTTCATCAACATTCATTTAAGCTAAGGAAATTTTCTTTTAGTTCATGGTTTTTAGAATTTCGTAAGTGGCAATGGGCAGAGGAGTAAAGAAACAAGATCCCAAATAACTTTACTTTTATAAAAGTCTTAAAATGCTATGATTATTCTTTTATCGTAAACAGAACACAGTTGACCTACCTCTGAAGTCTGTGATGTGAGCTACCGGCTTATTTACTTTTAGTTTATATGTGCATTATAAAATGCAAATATGTTAATTTTTTATATTTTTCATATCAGCTCAGAGCAGTTTTTGAACATGTTGTTAATGGGTCCTGCTAGTGACATTTGGAATTTTTTTGAGAGAGATGTCAATGTAAACAGTCCTTTCAAGGATTCTCTAAAAATAAAAGTTCAAGAGAAAATCAAACCCAGACTTTGCCATTCTACACTGTTTAGACCGAAGATTCTTTGTATTTTCATGCAATTATTCTTCTAATCAGTTGGGCTGTACTAGTAAATCTTGTAATCGTTGTTTTATGAATTTTATTGGATAAGACAAGTGTGACAGAAATACTGTCACTTCTTAATGAGCAAGGAGTGACTCCTACCACCACTGTCATGCTGTATCTTCTCATTTCGGCTATCTGAAGAAGTGTCTATCTGAAATAAGCTGCAACTAACTCAGTTTGCTTTTTTTCTAAATGCAAAATGAACCACACTGTAACCAAGAAGTAGTTGTGTGATGCTGGGCTGCTACATATACATGAGTATTTTCTGGGTCTGTCCAAACATTAGGGAAAACAACCTATGTTGTGGCTGTACTGTTTTGTACTATGCATATGATCAAAGTATTCTTTACATGCGGTGGAATATGTCATGTGTGTTGCATGTGAATACCCAAAAGTGGGAGAACCATCATAGATTGTTATACAGAAAGCCATATTCTGGTAACATAAAAACCAGAAATATACACTGGAAGACTGCAGATATGTTTTAGAGATAATGAGGGCAGAATGAGTCAAATAACATGGTAAGCTCTTTTCCATGTGAGTTTTTAATATTATTATTTTTTTTTTTGCAAGGGACAACGCGGGCTTGAAATCACTTTTGGCTGGAGATTTCGGTGCTGTTTCTCTCCAAACTGTGTGGGATGTTATGAGTAGGCTTTTATTTCTCTATTAAATACATGACATAAATTATGTAGGATAGTGGTTTAAAAACCCAAAACAGCAAATTTGCACTAAAAACAAGCCTGGAAAATTTCCTCACAGATAATCACAGTTTTGTAAAACTTGGAGCATTTAGCTGTAAAGCATTTATTTTTGTTTTAGAATATCTGTTTGAGTGCCAGAAAAGCCAAATGCATTACCTCTTGTCATTTTTGAAGGATCCTTTGTAGCCTCTGGGTTTGGGAAGCTGAAGACAGGGTCTGGAAACTCACCTTCAACATGTTTTAAAATTCTGTTTTTAAAGTACCATTTACCATTTGGAGCGGGAAGGTAGAAGTACATATTTCATTACTAAGGATCACAACCACTATGACTCCAGTCTCACCAACCCTCATTCTCAACCCCGGGCTACTCCAGCAAAGAGTAATCTTGCTGCCAGCAACAGAACCCTGGGGAAGGCAGCAGATGAGCTGTATAAGCTTTCTTTTGGCAGCCTTGTGGGGCAAGACCAGATGCCCCAATGTTTGACAAACTCCAGTGTCTCGGAAGGTAGAAGGACATAGAAGGCAGAAAAATCTGTTGCTGGTTTCATGAAATTTTCTGCTTGAAATTTGAGCATAACACTTTCTTATGCATTGGGGTCACTGCTGGCAGCATTATTCCTTTATCTGCTGCCAAGTGGGGACAGAAAATGGAAGTTGGGCCTTGCTTCCCTTGAAACCCTTCATTTAAACAGAGACAGAGGCATAATTGAATGTCATCTGTCTATTTGAGGATACATGAACTTCTAGCATCATTCAGCTTCCCTGTGTGATACTGTCTTGGGGTTAAACTGGCAGGGAGAAAGCATTGAGGTTTGTGAGACTGCAGAATACAGGACTTCTGTGGCTGTGCAGGAGAATGAGAGGGAGTTGCACTCCATTCAGCTTGTCTAGGAAAAGGACTGCTGTCCTGTTCTTTCGTATTAAACTTCACATGAGTCTTATTATTAGAACCAGGCAGTCACTTCTGTCAGAACCGCAGAAGATATCCACTCTGAGGTTTGTTTTCAGTCCCAGGCCAGGAGCACGCGGACTGAAAGTGCCAGGAGGGTTTGTTCTTCTATCACATTTTGGTCTGATGCCTGCATGTCAAGGAGGCAGGGCGTTGGCAAGGGATAGGTGCTCTTAGCTTTTGGATACCACTGCCTTCACGAAGACTTTGCCAAGGAAGAGGACGTTGGAAACTCAGTGGTAGCTGGCGAGGCTACTGGTGTTAAAAGTGGGTTTTTCTAGGTTTGGCTAGACTGTTGCATTCTTTAGGGTGTCTGGTAATTTGCTGTCTTAACCATGGAGAGAGGGTAATGTCATTTGCCAAACAAAAGAACATTAAGAGCCCTTGCTGGAATTCTTTACAATATGTTCCTAAAAATACACTGAATACTTTGATAGCATAATACAGTATTAAGACGCTGTGGCTTGTGGTGAAAGTGGTATGTTTTGTGGTAGGTTTTGTAGCAAAATCCAGAGATATCCTTCGGTAAGTTTTATTTTTTAACAACTTTACTCTGGTATATTTCTAAAGAATAAAACTTCTTTTCTGAGAGCTGGGTTGTAAAGGTCGCTTCTCCAGAGGGATTGTTAAGTAGGTTCCAGAAAGATAGATGAGCTGAACTGAACTGGGCTGAGCTGAGAGAGAAGAAGAGTTTGAACACTGCTGTTGTCCGCATCAGTCGTGAGGTTCCTGGAATCTAAAACTTTATGCTATGCTAGCATAGTGCTAACTACTAAAAGTTAACATGGTTTCAAAAAGAGAATGGACATGTCTGTGGATCCATTGAGAGTGACTAAACAGATAGAGGCACACCTTGCATTTAAGTTTTAAAGATTGAAGTTTTAAGATTTAAATTTTAATACTGAAAATACTTGAAGCTTGGGACACTATCAGTAAAAAAAACCCAACCAACAAATACTTCAGGTCTGCCCTGTTTCTCACTATTCTACTGGGCATCTGCTCAGGGCTACTGCTAAAGGCAGACTGTTGAAGGAGACCTAGTGTTGCAGTTTCAGTGTAATGCTGTATTATCTGCTCCCTACAAGTCCCATAGATCTTTTATGTAGATTAAGAAAATCTAAAAAATGAGCCTTCCTTAACATGTGTGTCTCGAAATACCTGCAAAGGTGTGGGAGGATATGTACTGAAGATGGAGGGAGTGATCTTTCAGCAAGTTCATCTGTTAGGCATAAGAAAATTATGAGGGTGAGTAAAAAGAGAAAAACATCTGGAACTACTAGTAAGCTAGTGCTAATTACACCAGCCATCACAATTTGGTCCCCAGTGATATAGTCCTTACTAGCCACTTCTTCCAGTAGAGGATTTTCCTGGTTTTATTCTACTTTATTTTTCTTTCCCTTACTACCTGCTGGCCACAACTGTTTGACATTAATAAAGTTACTTGCTACCTGCCATTGACATGAGGTTGCTGCTTGGCAGACTTGATTTGTTTATACACCAGTGTTAACACTGCTGTGTCCAGTTGTTGCCATGTTGCTCAAATCTTTGAACACAGCCTTCTTAAGCTGCTAAAATAAGAGTAAGAAATAGCAATACTGATAAAATGTTATCTTGATACGACAATAAGATAGGATAGACAGCTGAATACAATTTGAGGAATCAAGAGAACTGGAAACCTGAGGGAGTGGATACAAGTTCCTACTGGTGCTTCATGTTCATCTTTTGTCTTCTGGATGGAGCTGGCAGGAGAATAGTCTCTTCTTGTACGGGTCCCTTCAAGATTTCAGAGCTATATTTATCCAGCATTGAGGAATACAAGAGATGACTTTTCAGAAGATACAAAGGAAACCTAACCATCCTGACACAGGCAGTGATCAGCCTCATTGGTGAGGGAAGACAAGTGTGTTCAGATTTTTGCTTTTGTCCAAGAAGTTGAGATCAAAGATTATTAGAGCTATGTTTCCTAGCATGTGAGACCTGCTTGTTTTTTTTCCTAGTGGAATTTACTCCACTTTAGCTGGTCCAAGGAATATTTTAATCTAAATTTTGCACTCTATAACATCAATCAGGGCTGAATGAGGAATGCAAATGACTCAGGTTTGAGCCTGTGTGTTGATGAACATCACATTATTTATACAGGGTGACACACTTTTAGATAGAGAGATTGAGAAGCTGTCTCTCTGCCTTTCATGCCTCCTCACTGTTTTGCTGCTTCTTTCCCCCACAGTAATCCATGATATGTTGTCAGGGAATCCATCTAGTGCTAAGGTCTCTAGTCTGAATGAGGCATAGATATGTGAAGCCCCAACCCCAGCTTCGGTGCTCTGGAATTGGTTTTCCCCTTCTATTTTCACCAGAAGTTTTATTCTGGGAACCATTTCCAAAGAAGACCTGAGTGAAATCACCGTCTATTAATTTTTTTTTCTAATTGAAGAAGGTGTTGCCAAAAAAGCTTGCAACCAGCCTCACCTATCTCTCAATATGCAAATTGCTCTTGCAGCTGTAGAGCCCCAAAGGCTTTTTTGCGCTTTCATATGGGCTAGCAGCCATAGGGAGAACATTCTTTTTGGATCAAGCCCTAAGAAATGTGTAATAAATTTGCTTATATATGACTGTTCTAGATAGAAGTATTCTGTTTTAAGTTTTAGAATGTATGGTTTCAGAAATAACCTTTGAAGAGTAATGTGGTCTCAA